TTTATAAGCCTCAATTTCCTCATCTGGAAAATAGGAATTATAATCATGGCATCTAACAGGTAAGGTCTTTGTAAAGATTAAGTGAGATAATGCCTATAAAGCCCTCAGCTTATGGTAGACTCTTAGCCCTTAATGAATATGAAATATTTTGATTTCTTTTATTAGTCATTGGTATTCTTCAAAATTCATCAGCTGTATTCGTGCTAGACCAGATCCTTGAAAAAAAAATTTTTTTTAAGGATGAAGAAACTTTCTTATGATGATTTTCATCCTGTACAGACATAACAGTGAGTCCATGTTCGAAGCATGATGTTTCTCTCAGGTCGTCCAAGTTCAGAGTCACCCAAAGCACCCTTGTTCAAGGATCATGATCATCCTTGATAGTGGTTTTAAAGATGCACTATCTGCCTCAGTTATACTTCACCCCCATTTCTGACACCTAACCCACCCCTCTCCAGAGGTAGTGAGGTGTTTCGAGAAGATCAGGCTTAGGAGTATTGGTTTTGGGGGTCCAACTCCTGTCTGCTTGAGGTATCTTGGGTGAGGTACTTAATCTAAGATTCAGTTTCTTAGCTATGAAATGGATATAATAATAGCCTCTCAAAGATTGTGATGAGAATCCAATGACATTATATATGTGAAACCTACATAGTTGGTGCTCAAGAAAAACATTGAGCAAATGTAAAGCATGTTGTAAATAGTGATTCCTCACCTTCAGCAGTGGTAGCAGTTAGGTCTGATCCTGAAAGGGGGATCTGCTGAGGCTTGGGGCAAGAATCTCTTCATCATGGGTTCGTCCGGTCCACGCTAATTATTCTGTCCTATGTGCAAATCTCCTGACAGTGGTTGGAGTTCTCTGCCTCTTTCACTTTGGGCAGTATATTAACCAATTCAGTTACAAAGGACCTAACATTCATGGGGTACCCTCTTGTGTGCTGGATGAAGCTAAGAACTTGACATGCATTGTCTTATTTTATCCTCCTAGCATCCCCCATGGGAGATACTGACATTCCCCACTGTTATGGATGAGAAAATCAGTTCCAAAGGAGGAAGTCACACTTACCTTAGGTTACAGGAAGCAGCAGGATTGGGTGTGGTGTCTCACCTCCCGGTTTGTAGGAAAAAGATGCCTATCCCATATCCCAGATCTCTTCCTTGGCCGGCCAGTGTGGGGACTCTTAGGGTCTTTAAAACATGTCTCTTCTGGAAACTGGACACGAGCAATGCACCCTCTCCTACTTCTTAAGTTTTATCCTAGCCAGACGCAGTGGGCGCAAGCCCATTACCCAGCAGCTCGGGAGGCTGAGATAGGAGGATCACAAGTTTAAAGCCAATCTTAGGAATTTTGCTTAGGCCCTAAGCAACTCAGTGAGACCCTGTCTCTAAATAAAACATTAAAAAAGGGCTGGGAATGTACTTCAGTGGTAAAGTGTTCCTGGTTTAAACCCCCAGCGCCAAAAACAAATAAATAAGTTTTAACATAAATTTTACTTGTATCCAGTCTTCAATCATCCAAGGCAATACCTCAAAATTTCCTAGAGAACACCAACAATGATTCCCCCTCAACACACACACACACTCAAATCCCAGCAGCAGTTGGGAATGATATTCACCTGTGTTAAAGGGCCTCTCTGCTCTCAACTCTCACCACCTCCTGCTGGAGTTTAAATTTTCAAAAATTATTCTTGGAAAGATAAGGAAACCTGGTAGGCTAAGTAATCGGATCACACATGTCGTCTCTGTTTCTTCAACTTCTCTCCTCTAATTATTTTCTCCCTGAATGATTAGAGTTAAATTTTCAATACTTCAGGCTAACTATTGCCAGGCCCTCTAATGTAGAAAATTATTAACGAATATTGTGTTTTTCTTTTCTTTCCTTTTCTTGGAAGTCTTTCCTTCGATGTTCTTTCATCTTTTTTGGAAATTACCTGTTTTTATTTTGGTACCAGGTTGAGCCCAGGGGTGCTTAACTACTGAGCCACATCCCCAGCCTGTTTTATATTCTTGTTTTGAGACAGGGTCTCGATAAGCTGCTTAGAGCCTCACTAAGTTGTTGAGGCTGGCTTTGGACTCGCGATCCTCCTGCCTCAGTCTCCTGAGCCGATGGATAATAGGCGTGTGCTACCGTGCTGGGCTTGTGAATTGCTTTTACTAAGAAAACATTTTGCCAGACTAGTTTCCTCTCTTCCCAAATATGTATAGATGTGTGTGTGTGTGTGTGTGTGTGTAAATTAATTATTTTTTACAGAACCATTTGTGAATTGGTTGCAGACATCATGGCATTTTATTCCTAAATATTTCAGCATACATTTCCAAAGAAGAAGGGGGACATACGTCTACATAAACACAAGACAATGATCACCCTCAGGAAATTTTCTTTTGATAACAATGCTATTATCTAACACGGAATTTTTTTTTTCAAAAATTTTCAATTACCCCGATAATATCCTTTCTAGCTATCTGCTCTCTGATTCAGGATATGGTCAAGGATCACATGTACTTAGTTGCCAGGTATCTTTAATCTCCTTTAATCAGTCTTTTTGTGTCTTTCAGGTTGTTGATATTTTTGAAGAGTTATTTTGCACAATATCCCTCAATTTGTATTTAGTCAACTGTTTCCTGATTAATTTCAGGTTGACATTTTGGGCAAGGATTCTTTATAGATGATCTTGTGCCTTCTCTGTGCATTGCATCAGAGGTCCATGATATCAATTTGTCACTTCAGCTATGAGGTTAAGACTACTTATAGATATGTGCAGCAGATCCCTTTTTCTAGAACATTTTCTCCTTGGTAAAGAATAAGTAATAGGTGAAGTGCTGTTTTGAAGCTGGGAAAATATCTAGTTTCCCAATATTATATTTGATTGATGTTTATAACCCTAACCGAATTAATCATTCACTCCCTTCTAAGTAGAATTGAACTTGATTCATTTAAAGAAAATCTCCAGTGCTGACACAGAGTAGGAATTCAAATATTTATTAAAATTATAATCAGTTATAACACTGCTCCAACAGTTTAATTATTCCATAATCAAAGTATTATCCCTCCGTAAAGTTCTGTTTTCTATGAAGTAAAGTGAAACTTCTCTACTGTCTGCCATCTATATTTCTTGTATCTTCCTTTATTAAATAATTTTTTCTATATTTCTATGACAAATTCCTATAATTTGTAGACTTTAGGTTCTGCCTCTTTTTACCTCTTATTCCTTTCATCTTTTTATTTTCAATACAGCTTCCGGTTCCTGGGCCAGGAGGTGCTGGAGAAAAACAGGGTACCAAAGGCTGAGGTTCCCATTCATATAACCCTTAACAAAAGGGAACTTTAAATATAAATGTATTTCACTGTCTTGGGGGAGGAGGGGAAGAATGTTACTTTATGGCGATTTTCATCTTGATTCTGGGAAATTCTTACTGAACACATTCTAAGCAAATAATTTAAGGGCTTTCACAGGTTTGCTACATGTTTGTAAGTCAGGGTCCACCACCATAGATCCTGGGGGAACTTAAACATTTTAGCTACAAGCTAGGTGCACTACTATAATCCCAGGGACACAGGAGGCTGAGGCAGGAGGATTGCAAGTTCATAGCCAGCTTCAGCTACTTAGTGAGACCCTGAGGGCTGTGGATGGAGTTCAATGGGAAAGCATCCCTGGTTTAATTTCTGGAGAAAGGAAGAAAGGAAGAAAGGAAGAGAGAAGGAGAGAGAGAGCGAGAGAGAGAGAGTGAGAGAGAGAGAAAGAGAGGGGGGAGGGAGGGAGGAAGGCAGGAAGGAAGGAAGGAAAGAAGGAGGGAGGGAGGAGAGAAAGAGAGAGAGAGGGAGGGAGGGAGGGAAGGGAAGGAGGAAGGAAGGGAGGGAGAGAAGGAGGGGGAAGATTTTAGATATAGGAGATGAACTGAACTCTAATGTAAATAATTTAAGCATTGTTTTTTTCCAATTTTTTTTTCTGAAATAGCATATTCTCATCTGTTAAACCTAAAAAAAAAACTTTTCAATATGTTATTTTTGACCATTTCACAGAAACATTTAGTGGGTGAAAGAGGAGAGATATGGAAAAAAAGAATCCCGAGACAGTAAAGATTCTGTAGTATGGACTTGTGTGTGATCCTTTAACAGCTGAAGTTGTGGTTCTCCTCCTAGGTCCACATCTCCACTGGCAAGGCTTCACGGGTCATCTATTTTGGAGAGGCACCATCTGGAGTACAGTAAGACCCTCTTGAATGATGAGGTAAGTGCTCCTTTCTCCAGGGCAGCTTACTGATTCTGGATCAGAGCCCTAACCCACAGAAAATGCTGGAAAGAGAGTAGCCCTGAGTTATGGTATTGACAATGCATGCCTTACCATGTGGATTGCTATACTGCCGTTGTTTTTGAACCATTAGTTGAAGTAGCTCAGACAGAGAACCATGGAAAGTCAACAGAATCTCTGTGCGTCCCTGGGCAAAGAAGTAAAAGCATATGGTGGATGTGAAAGACTCTCTGCGTGCTGAGCATGCATAAGTTAATGTAAAGGGGGAAAGAGGCCACGCAGGTGCCTGGTTTTCTTATGCTTCTTGGGGCACACACTGTGGAGCCTGGTTTGTGCCTTGGAGAGAGCCGGACTTAAGAGTGGAATAGGCATGGATCAGGAAATAAGACAAAGACAGGTAGCTGCCATCAGAGGGGCATGGAGTCATGTTCTGGAGCTCCAAAGGGAGGGAACACATTCATGGGAGGAAAGGGAAAGGGGTCAGAGATGGCTTTAGGTAGGAAGTGGCTTTATGTCTTTTGAATTCATGATGAGTGGCACCTATCACGTTCTGCTAGTCTCCCTTCCATAGGAGCTGCTTATTCTTCTTCCCTTCATCAGTTTTATTTAAGGGGTGGATAGATAGGTGGGAAAGTTGTGAACATAATGTAATAACACTTTCTTAAGAAAGTTTCAAACCAAAACCAATTTATTGTTTTCCATAGAGGGGACACTATTTTTCACAGGCAACAAACTTACTTAGAATTGTATGCTCATTAGGATAAATACACCCTCTGGAGAGTGGGGCTTTTTTCTCATCTACAGTAATAATCTTTTATTAAAGATTCAGGGAGGGAATACACAGGAATAAGTCAAATCCAGAGAGAACACTCAATTCTTCTAGGTAATGAAAAGCCTCAAGATGGTCCATACAAGCCATGTGGGAACATCTTCTAAGGCAGAGTGACTGGGCAGAGAAGTAGAAAAAAAAAGAAAATGATCTGAGTGGTTTTAAAAATGTGTGATTGATAAGCACTCAACACTACATCCACCCTAAACCTGCTGCAGCTTTTCTCAATCAGCAATGCCCTTGGTGAAACATGTCGTCTACCCTTCGTCTGTTTTCTGTTGCTATAACAAAATATCAGAGACTGGATCATTTATAGAGTAGAATTTTATTTTGGTTCACATTTTTGGAAACTGGGAAATCCAAGATCAGACGGCCACATCTGCTGAGTCTCAGGGTGGAAGAGCAGGTAGGCATGAAGAAGAGACAGTCGTAAGCGTCTGTCTTGCTTTATAACAACTTTCATGAGAACAAACTTCCAGAAAGGCATTAATCCCTCCCAATGACACCTTCACTTCTCAAGGGCCTCACCAACACCCCTACGTTTCGAATCAAATTTCAACATGAGTTTCAGAGAGGACAAACCATGTTTGATTCATTGCACCTTGGGTAAGTCTAGATGGTGGTTATCAGACATGGGTGTCCAGACTAGCTTCTTCAGAATTGCCAGTTTACTGGTATGTGTGTGTTTGTTTGTTTGTGTGTGTGTGTGTGTGTGTGTGTGTGTGTGTGTGTTCTTGAAAGCACAGTCTGGCCAGCCTTTTTGGAGCCAGAGTCTAGGGTTTTGCATTTGAACCAGGCCTCTTTAATCCTGAGGGGCAGATAGAATCTCTCCCTACAGCAGAAATCCTCACATAGGTAATAGCTGTTCTATGGCAATTAAAAGAAGAGTAGAGGGGCTGGGGTTGTGGCTCCACGGTAGAGCACTCTCCTCGCACGTTCGAGACCCTGGGTTCGATCCTCAGTACCACAAAAAAAAATAAATAAATAAGTGAAATAAAGGTGTTGTGTCCAACTACAACTAAAAAATAAATATTTTTAAAAAAAAGAAGATGAGAGAGGAGGGGAGGATAGGAAGGGCAGCAGAATAGAATAGACAATATGATTGATGTATGTACATTCCATGTATGTATTATATATCAAAATGCATTCTACTGTCATGTATGACTAAAATAAACAAATAAATAAAAATTTAAAAACAAAGAAGAGGAGGAGTAGACTGGAAGGAATTCAGGGAAGGAAAACTGTCATCACCTAATTTGTTATGATTCTTTGTTTTGCTTATGGAACAATCTTTGGTTTCTGAGTAAGAATTTTCTGTACATCCCATTGTTTCTATGATACCACCATGAGGCCATGTCAAATATATCTATCACTTAATTATACATTTATTTACTAAAGCAAAATACATTTTAAAAGCTACAGCCAAATATCTCAATGCTTGACATTAGAAGGCTCCCGGTATCTTACATGTTTTCCTCTGAGCTTTGACAGTTTATAACAGAGTTTATGGTTTTCCCACCTTAATTTTTTATGTTATGTACTTTGCAGCCTAAATTGGCTTTGATGGCTATATAAATACTTATTATTCTGTATAAAAAGGAATATTACATCTCAGTAATCTTTGCTATCTTTTCAAGGACCTGTCTACAATACTATTCGACCTGCTAATTGCAAATGTTTAAAGCCTTGTCAATAGAGTCGCTAGGTGATGTAATCGCATAGCTTATTTATGAGCAAATTGAACACTGAGAAAAAAAAAAAGAGACTTTTATATATCAGATGTGCTTTTCCTATTTTGGGAACATAATGTAGTTCTTTTGCTTTTTAATTCTGTAAAGAAAATACACATATTAAAGTTTTTAAAATTTTTTTAAATGAATGTAATAATCCTTGGGATTTAAACCAGATAGAAATCAACCCTTTACTTGAATGAATGGGTAGAAATCTTTTTAGCCAGATATTTTTTTCTCAGTGCTGAGGCTGGAAGTCCAGGCTTTTCCCATGCTGAGCAGGTGCTCTACTGCTGAGCACCAGTATAAATTTTAATACTAAAATTTGCTCTACAGAAAATTTCTACAAATGACAAAATAAATTGCTCAGTCTAAATCACAGGACCCCGTTATTACTCAGAACATCCCTTTTTGTTCCATTTAATACAAAGAAATAGCACAGAAGAAATTAAAGGCTCTGTGTCCAGTCACCAGTGAGGCCACAACATGTTGCAATATTCTTCTGTGGGTGTCAAAGGCACCACTGTGAAGATCAGATCTGCCCATACTTTCTCTGGCTTTAACTCACCTGTGAGCGCCAATCAGAGCCAATTAAAACCATTTCTATCTGTTTTGCTGTGCTACATGGAATTCATATTTTTATTGCCATTTTAATAGTCAGGGAAGAACAAAAATAGATTCTTTTTGTGAGCTAGTGAAGCCAGCTGAGCAAGTGGGGCTGGGCCTGACTGGGCCTGGCCTGGGGAACAGCCCTCCTGTCTTCCTTTGGAGCCCTTGTCTTTATATTATGTTTCAGCAAAATGCTCGGTGTATGTGTGGGAGAGGGGACGGAATACCACATCTCATGTATTTTTTAAATTAATGATTTCAGAGTTATTACAAAAGCTATATATGCCCACTATAAAAATTCAAGCCATAGGGAAAAACTCAAAGACAAATATAGAAAGAAAAAACAGCACTTTAAATCCTTCCACCCAGAAACAGATACTTCATTAACATTTAAAGAATTTGATTGCAGTCACCTTGTGACTATATACAGGCAGCACGGAGAGAAACAATTTTTCAAAAGCAAAAATCACACCACAAGCTATTTTTTGAGTTATTTTTTAAATCAACTTTATTAAAGAAACACACACACACACACACACACACACACACACACACGCTTCCCTTTAAAATGTTCAGTTCTGAGTTTTTACCATTTTATACAACTGGAGAACCACCACCACAATCAAGATACAGAATGTTCCTGTCTCCCCCGATGATTGCTCATGCCCCTCCCCTCTCCCAGCCCCAGCTGACCATTGAAATGCTTTCAGTCCTTGTGGATTTGTTTGCATGTTCTGGATTTTAACAAGTACAATCATACAATAAGCTCTCTTCCATGCTGGCTTCTTTCATGCAGAATATAATTTTAAAATTCATCCATGCTCTTGTTAGTGATTCCTTCCTTTTCGTTGCTCAGTAGAATTCCATTAATCTTAAATAAAGGGCATTGGACTGAGGCTGTAGCTCAGTGGTAGAGCTAGCATGTGTGAAGCCCTGGGTTCAATCCCCAGCACCACAAAAATTTAAACAATAAGAAATAAAAGGCACTCAATGATTTACTTGAATATGTCAGAAACATTTTAGAGATGGAAGGAAATGCAGAATTTCACACGATTGTGTCATTATCACAAGAGATGTTAGTTCTTAAAGACCCCTCTAAAGTGAACAACAAATGTCAGTGAAAAGTTATGGAAGGTATATCTGAGCATATAAGTGTTTATTTTTAAACAATATGTGTCAACTGTATAGTATCTATTAACTCCCTGCTATAAAATGTGAAGCAGATAAGATGCTTAAACTTTCCCCACATCTTCACCTCCATTTTACAAGGAATTTATTATCATTTGTATTTTTTTTACCATCATCAGTAGCTATAAAATTTATGTTTTGCTTTATCGTTTCTGCTGTCAACTTAATTCAATTTTATGGTCCAGTACACATTGACGCTTTGCATTTCCATGTGGAATTTTCAAATTCATTTGTCAATTTATGAAAACACATACATAACTTGTTGGTATTTTGTTGGAATTGCACTGTGTAGGTTTTTTTGTTTGTTTGTTTGTTTTGTACCGGGGCTTGAACTCAGGGGCCCTCAATCACTAAGCCACATTCCCGGCCCTATTTTGTATTTTATTTAGAGACAGGGTCTCCCTCAGTTGCTTAGTGTCTCCCCATTGCTGACGCTGGCTTTGAACTTGTGATCCTCCTGCCTCAGCCCACCCCCACTGGGATTACAATTGTGTGCTGCTGTGTGTTGCAGGTGCTTGTTCCGTTTTGAAAATTACTCATCTTTCAATGCAGCCAGATCTGCTGTGGAATACTGTGGGGAAGGGGCAGGAAGAGCTGGGGGAAATCCTCAGCTTCCAGTTTGTTGCCTCAAACACTTTCACCAATGCATTCTCTTTTTTTTAAACTTTGGTTCTTTTTTAGTTAAATATGACAGTAGAATTCACTCGATGCAATTACACAAGCATGGACTATCTATTTCTAAATAGGACCCCTTTCTTGTGGATGTACATGATGGTGAGATTTACTCTGGTGTATTCATATATGTACATAGGAAAATTATGTCAAACTCATTCCATTCATTCTTTTCCCCATCCCCTCTCCCTTCCTTTTATTCCCATTTGTCTTCACACACTGAACTTCTATCCCCTCTCCCCTTGTTGTGGGTTAGATCCACATATCAGAGAAAACATTTGCCCTTAGTTTTTTTTTTTTTTTTTTTTTTTGTGGGGGGAGAGGGGGCGGGGACCAAGTCATCCTTGATTTCGGTTTTCTAGAAGTTGTAAGGTTCATACTGAGCAAAGTCTAGGATGCAATGGACTCTGCACCGAGATCAGGCCATTGCTGTCGGCTCCTTCCTTTACCCCTTGTCCCTGGCATTCCCTACTGCATGGGGAACAGTACAGGGAGTCAGAGCAGGGCTTGTCCACAGAGCTTTCTGCTGCTGCTGTGAGCACAAATATCCTGAGGTCTATTGTTTTAATGAAAGGTTCACGGGATCTGTTTTTCTTACTTACCAGCAATCCCCAAAGCTCCAACTTTATGTGTATGTTTGTTCCAAAGGGATTTAATGGAGTTTTAAAAACTACATACAACATTAAAGAAAAAGTAAATGACGGCTAGTGAAAGAATGAGAAAAATGAGATGAAGCATGGCAAAGACCGTCCAAACCCAATGTGTGAAGACAAATGGGAAAACAGTGAGGTTCAAACATTTATTAAACATCAGCCACAGGTTTGGCCAAGAGCATCCTAGCAACTAACATGAGAACAGAAATAGGATCTTCTATATGAATCTATAACCACAACTTAAAAAGAAATACCAATTATGGGCTGGGGTTGTGGTTCAGTGGTAGCTCGTGTGCCTAGCACATGGGAGGCACTGGGTTCAATTCTCAGCACTGCATATAAATAAATAAAATAAAGGTCCAGTGACAACTAAAAATATTTGTT